ACACGGCCGTGTGTGTGTCCCAGTCGAGTTGAGCAAGGGGAGGGAGAGAAATGGGCGACACGACACGACGGCCAGTCAACCCCAGCCAATCCAATCCAGCATCACTGCCGTGTGTTGCCTGCTGCAGTCATCATCACAATCACACAATCACACAGGTGCAAGCAACAGGAATGAGCCGCTGATATATGTGTCATTGTCATGTGATATTACCACCACATGACATCACGTGCATGTGCACACGCACCCCCATCCCTCAACCAACATCATGCCCCACCTATCACTTTCCTTCCCTCCCTCCTTTCGCTCTGCACTCCCACATCGCCTCATCACCATCACCACCGCCACCATCACCGTGTCACTTCCCTCCTTCCCCTGCTTCCCACCACTCCACACAACACAGCCCACCAACCAACCAACCGCCAACAATCATCCTCACCTGTGCTTGATGCAGCTTACCAGCCAGCCGATGTGCCACATCGAAGAGCCAACAAATGGAACCGCAATCACACGCCACGGCCACCTTCGTCACCGCTGATGGAGCAGAAAGAGGAGATGAAGGGGGAAGAGCGGTGGGCACGGGCCGTGTCCTTCCTTGTCTTCACCGGTGCAGCCCCAAACACGGCGCACAGCGCACAGGCACACGCACGGCCATCATCACAGCAGCCACCAGCAGCAGCGAGCCAGCCTGCCCTGCGTGCCTGTGAGGCAAGAAGAAACCAACCAGAGACGAACAACAATGACCGGCGATGGTGAGGACATGAAAGGAGGGACACAAGGGACCACGCATGGGAATATGCAGCATGATGTGGGCGGGTGCATCACCTATACACAAGAACAACGAAGCAAGCACCCAAGCAAGCAAGCAGGCAGGCACAAAATATCACCACCATCACAACATCCACATCCACTACAGCTGCTGCAATACCTGTGTTGGTCGCTGTCTCGAGCACGCCTCAACAGCGCCACATCGCATGGGGAAGGCTGATGATGACGACACAGAGCAAAGGCGATTGGTTGGAAAAAGAAGAAGGGGATTCGGTTGGGGAAACCCACACACGTCCGCCTGCAGCCACGCACGGACACGCACACGCACATGTGAGTTGTGTGATTGATTCATGTGAGACACACGTCAGTGCCACCACCCCACAGCCAATGTCTGCTTTGATGTGTTGGCATGCATGTGTACACGCGTGCGTATGTGTACTACCACCCCATCACCACACACACACACGCACACACACACACACACACACACACACACACACACACACAGCCCCAGCGTCTCACCTCGTGCCTTCTTTTCTCACACATTTGTGTGTGCGTGTATCGCCCTGCTCGTGTCATGAGGGCTTGGGAACAGAACGGCCACCGTCCTGTGCAAATCACATGCATGTGCACATGCGCAAGCACAAAGAACCAAATCAGCAAGAATGACACCACGCAGTGAGCCAGCATGGCAGAAACAAACCACATCCACCTCCTTTGTCACATTCACATCACCCACATCACCACCTGTGCACGCACATTCCAAACACAGATACACACCACCACCACCACCACCACCACAAGCATCACACCTGCACATGCGTGTGCGTACGCAAGTCCACATCCACCACAAATCACTCACCACCATCATCATCATCATCGTCATGCGAGGCAACGGCACATCGACGCACATTACACCCTCTGTACGTGTGCGTGTGGAGAAAGAGGTGAGTTGTCACAGAATCAGGCTGTCAACGACAACAAAACCCATTGCCACCACCAACAGACCCAATGACATCCAACCTACACCTCACAATCACACACATATACATGCTGATGTACACACCCAACACATCACACACCACACACATCATCACCACAACCACCACCATTCATCTCACCTCCACATCCATGGCCGCAGCCGCTGCTGTTGGTGACCAATGACGACGACAGGACGAAGAGGAGATGGACGAGAGACAGATGGCCAGTTCATCCACAATGCAGCCAGCCATCAGCTGTTGCTGCTGCTGTTGTTGCTGATGGAAGCGGTGAAACCAAACGGCCCCTTGCCATGCCGTGTCCTTTGCTCGCTCGCTCGGCTGCTTGGTTGGTCGGTTGGATGGAAACGGATGCATGGCCCCGTGTCCAAATCAATCGAAAAGGGGGGAGGAAGAAGAACAGACACATGAGCGGACAGAACAGACAAGGGAAAGAGAAAGGCAAAGAAGGGAACACAACATGTCAACCAACATGCACGCACACACACACACACACATCTCAGTCGCCCTCTCACCTCCATCACTCGTCATCGTCGTTGGTTCCACCGCTTCATGCGCCTCCTCAACGCTGTGAAACGTGTGTGTGCACAGACACAAGATGGGAGAGGATGCAGGGGGATGAGCTTGACAGCGAAGATCATCAACCACACGCCAGCCCATCCAACCACGCGCATTGACACACATCCACGCGCACACATGTTGTCCCCGCTCACCATCACCACCACCACACACATATTCTCACCTCTCCATCAGAGCGAGTGACACGTGCAATGTCTGCCTCACGCCAGATTGGGGCTGGTGTGAGCCGGCGTGTGATGTCGGCTGTGCAGTCGATGGCGATGACGGCGATGACGGTGACAGCGGAGCTGCGGTGGAAGAGAGAGAAAGGGGAGAGAAATGGAGAAGGTTGATGATGATGGGTCGTTCATGGCGGCGGCTTTCCCTTCCTCTGATGTGGCCCTGGTGCGCATGCAACCAACACACAACGACAAGACACAACGACATCAACACACACAAGGCACAGGCATGGCATGTGAGCACAGCAGGCGTGTTCACCTTCCCGTCCCTCCTCTGCTTTTCTCTCCCTCGCCCCACGACACACACACACACACATACGCACACACACACACCTGCGCATGACTGCGTCGCTGTTGTTGCATGTGCCCACCATGACCATGGACGTGTGTGTTCACAGCTGCTCCTCCCAATTCATCATGTGTGTGCACCGCCCATCATCCGCCAACGATCCTCAGACAGTCGCCCCCTGCAGCCACAAGCATACACGCATGGCATGTGAGCTGCACAGCTACATTGGTGCACGAGACACAGCAGCAGCAACACCAAACACCCACAGCAACAACAGCAACACATGCACCATGTGCCAACCAAAGCATGCATGATGGGCTCACCTCGCTCACATATGGGAACACTGCATGAACACAGCAGCGACAGCCGAATCACGGTGGTTGCAGCTGCAGTATCCGGCATGCTAGCCCACTTCCATCACTACCATCCTGATGTGTGCTGATACCTCACCACCTGTGCACCTGTGCATGTGTGCGTGTTTGTGCGTGGTTGCAGGGAACGTGGATGGGAACAGAACACAACAGGCACAGAGCAAGCCATCACGTCAGCACAGCAGAACGAGTGAGTGACATCACATGCACCACGTGTGCGTATGTGTGTGTGTGACCATCATCCCCCATCAACCCTTCTTCCACTTGTTCGCTTCACCGCACCCCCGTCCCCACACTCTATCACAACCAACCAACCACTCATCACCACCCACATACCATGTGTGAGGCGAGTGCAGCTGGCACGCGTGACAAGTATCCTTGACATTTCCCTCATCCTGATGCTTGTGCGTGCGCATCGCCTGTGAGTGTTGTTGTGTGCGAGCACCAGCATGGTGAGTGAATGGGAGCGAAAGAGGGAGCATGGATAGGTGCGCAGCTACACCGCTGATGCCACTGCTGATGTTGTGCATGCATGTGTGTGAAGGAAGACAAAGGGAAGAGAGAGAAAACAGAAAACAGAAGGGAAGGAACAAGGCATGCTGCACCCCATCCACCCATCCATCCCTCTTCCTCACACCACCACCACACACCACCATCCTCTGTCACCAGCCAGCCACACCACACCACACCACACTCACCCAGCATCCCCCATCCCACCTCATCCATCCATCCACTCCGTTTCCCTCTTCTTCTCGGCTGTTCCAGCCGAAAGTGCAACTTGTGCTGTCGCCACCTGTTCCCAGCAGGCAGCCAGCTGCTGCCAGGCAGTGGGCGATGGGTTGGTTGGTTGGTTGGTTGGAGGGATGTGCTCAGCAGCAAGTGGTGGTGGTGGTGGTGCATTCTCTGCTGCTGCTGCTGCATTGGCGGTAGAGGGTGTTGGCTGCTGCTGCTGCTGCTGCTGTTGTGATGGCCGTCAGGGAGGGCGAGAAAGAGCGGGGAAGAAGAACAGCGACTGCAAGGTGGAGAATGTGCAGGTGTGCAGCCAGTTGTGCGTGTGAGAACGACGAATGAGACAGCGCATCACGCAAGGCAAAACAGGCAGCCGCACGACACACATGCATGCACATTGATGTGGGACAACAAGGGGAGAAACAGCAGCAACAGAGACAGCGACCACAAAACACGCACACTGGTGCTGTGCGCAGCACACACACGTGCAGTGATGCACTCACGTTGCTCATCGCTTGCTTGCTTGTGGTGTGGTGTTGGTGTTGCTGTTTCCACAGCCGCACAAGCGTGGCTGGATGGTCATCACATGGCAGCGCCCGTCTGTTCATCCCACCAGAGCAGTGGTGGTTGATGGAGGGGGAGGACAGCTGCTGGCTCAAGGGCCTCTGTGTGATGACAGCAGAGGGAAGGAGAAACAAGGGAGGGAGGGAGGTGGTGATAGTGGTGTTGAGAATGGGAAGGGAAGGAAGTGAGCAAAGACACAAGAAAATGAGAGGTGGTGATGATGGCGTGTGGATGGGTGGAGAAGAGAACACGCAGGTCGATACACACACACACACACACACACACACACACACACAAACACACACACACACACCTGTCTGGGTGATGCAGTGGTTCGATTCCCATACATCCGTCAGCATGTCGTCATTTGTTGGTTGGTTGGTGGGGTCGCCCACTGCCTCACGCATCAGCCAGCACCTGCTGTTGCTGCTGCTGCTGCTGTTGATGATGATGTAATCCATCCATCTGCACGCACCATCACAAACAAGCAAGCAACAGCAGCAACAGCATTGAGCAGCGTGTCACAGACAGAGAAATGAGGAAGAGAAAGAAGGATGAGAAGAAACACAACCCGTACACACACACACACACACACACACACATACACATTGGCTGTGATGTTGGTTGATGCCATTTCCCCCCTCTCTCCCATGTGTGTGCTGCTCACTGGATGAGAGGTTGCATGATCCATTCTCAGGGTGGCCGCTGCATGACGGTGGCTGATGGCAGCTGTTCTGTCACCACACAACGGTGAGCAAGTGCGTGTGTGAGTGTGAGTGTGTGCATTTGTGAGTGCCACACGCTGCGGTGTGTGTTGGTTGTGATCCACACAACCATGTACGGATGCGTGGATGGATGGTGGTCCACATGTGTGTGTGCACGGTGACAGCGTGCGCTGTGTTGTTGTTGTTGTTGATGATGATGATGGTGGTTGTTGCTGTGTGCAGTGTGCAACGAGAAGAAGATGAAGAGGACGCCGGAGTGGGAGGAAGAAGTGGGTGCACTCAATCTCACCCTCACCT